AATAGCATGAAAAATAGTTTTATGTACGACGGAGCAAACATTTGGAATTCTATACCAAAAGAAATTAGGGAAAGCAAGACACTTTCTTCCTTTCGAAATAAAATCACTGCTCACATTAGTGCTTGGTAACCTTTGTAAATATAATTTACCTGTAAATAGCTCAAAACATTTGTTATATCTTTTAAATTTATATATTACTGTAATAGCTTAGCTTATCCTTATCATATTCTGCATGTAAAATAATTTTCTGGCACACGCCCCCCGTGGAAATCAGCTACGGTTGACGGGGTCAGCGTGGATAAATAAAGTTCTACTACTACTACTACTAATATTCTTGAAATGCTAAATACAGAAGAAAAACTCAAAGATAATTATTCAGATTTAGACCAACCAATTTCAGAACAGGAAATCAGGAATGCTGTGAAGAAAATAAAAAATAATAAATCTGCTTTTTAGACCGAATAAAGAACGAAATGATAAAATGTAGTATTAATATTCTTCTTCAAGCTTATCTCAAGCTATTCAATTTAATTCTTAAAACTGGGATTTTTCCCAAACAATGGTGCGAAGGTTTAATCACACCAATTTTCAAATCCGATGATAAACTTAACTGCAATAATTATCGGGGAATATGCGTGTCAAGTTGTCTAGGAAAATTTTTCTGTCTTATATTCAATGACAGATTGCTAACATTTACTAAAGAAAATAACTCTCTTCACCCTTCACAGATTGGATTTTTACCCGGACATAGAACAGCAGACCATATACTAACTTTAAAATCATTAGTTGATAAATATGTACACCAAAAAACCAACGGCAAAATATATACATGTTTTGTGGATTTCAAGAAAGCCTTTGATTCGGTTTGGCATGATGGCTTACTCCTAAAACTTCTTAGAAACAAAATTGGAGGCAAATTTTACAGTCTTATAAAAAATCTATATCGTAATTCAAAATGTGCTGTTAAACAGTCACAACATAGAACTCCATTTTTCCCATATTCTAAAGGAGTAAGACAAGGATGTATCTTGAGTCCTCTTCTATTTAATATTTATCTTAATGACCTTCCATCAATGTTCAATAATATAGCTTCCGATCCCCTCATATTACCAAACAAGACAAAATTAAACTGTCTCTTGTACGCTGATGATCTTGTTATACTTTCAAGATCAAAGATAGGTCTTCAAAATTGTCTGGACCAATTAAACAGTTGGTGCAAACAATGGTTGATGCAGATAAATTTAAAGAAAACAAAGATTATGGTCTTACAGAAGTCAAATAAAAAGCAACCAATACCCAAATTTAACATAGGAGACACGACACTACAATTTACCCAAGAATATACTTATCTAGGATTGAAACTTACACCTGCAGGGAAATTTACTTTAGCCATTAAGGAACTGGCTGAAAAAGCATTACATGCTATGTTTGCTGTAAGGAAAAAAGTGAATTTCCATAATATAAAACCAAAATTAGCAATCAAAATTTTTGACAGCATTATATCCCCAATTCTTCTTCATAATTCAGAAGTGTGGGGAGCATTCACTACTACTGACTTCAATAAATGGGATAAAATTCCAACAGAGAAAGTTCACATAAGATTCTGTAAAATGTATTTATGCGTTCACAAGAAAGTAACCAATATAGCATGTAGAGGGGAATTAGGCAAATTCCCACTTATCATTAGTATCCATAAACGAATAATAAATTACGTTGCCCATATAAACTCACTACCAAATTCTGCAATTGCAAAACAAGCTTTTCTAATTTCCAAAGATCTTTATATAAATAATAAACCTAGCCTGCACACTAGCCTGATGAAAATAATGAAATTATACGACTCGTCAGCTGAGTTAAATGCGCTAGATAATACTTCACCACCGCAAATATTTTTATATATCCAGAATGCCAAAGACAAATACATAAACTTCTGGAAACATAAACTAACAAACTCGTCCAAACTATCTTTTTTAAGTACCTTTAAATGTGAATATCAATTAGAGGAATACATAAATACCATAAATAACCCGACACAGAGGAGAACCTTTACTCAATTTCGTATTAGCTGTCATAAATTACACATTGAAATAGGAAGATACCACAAAATTCCACAACAAGAACGTATATGTGAATACTGCAGTGATTTGAACGAAGTCGAAAACGAATACCACCTTTCACTTTCCTGCAAATACTATGAAAAGTATAGAAACAATTTGATCTCCAACTTACAAAAAAATAAAAAATAAAAAAACATCAAAAAAATAAAAAATAAAAAAAAAAGTTAATACAGTTTTTTTTATATATTATATTATATTATATATATATATATACATATATATATACATATATATATATATATATATATATATATATATATATATATATATATATATATATATATATATATATATATTGTATATATATATATATATAATATACATCATCTCATTGTTGGTTATACCGGGTGGCGCAAAAAAAAGTATAACTGTTTGATTACATATAGCTCAAAGACCATAAGCAGTAGAACCCAAAATCGAGTTTCATTGCATCCAGCGATGTCTAACTTAAATTTTGGTATATTCGACAGGCATTTTCGTCCAAGATTGACTGAGATATGAGTGTTTAAACTTTTGTTAGCAAATTTGAAACGGTCACAAATTAGCTAAAAACGGCCTATTAAACTGATTTTATAACCGCATCACCATTATAATTTTAAAGGGTTTTTTAACAAACGTAGTTGAAGTGCAAATTGCATCTTCCTTGTAACAGAGATGCTTTCTCGTTTTTGTTTGCTGTTCGGCAACAGAAAAATTAAGCTGCAAGGCAAGGTTGATTAAAAGTTTCCTTCTAAATTTTAATTCGACGTCCCAAGGGAATTAACTGAATTCTAAAATGCGAATGTCGCCTCGTGTGCTTCTAAGTAATAATTATGCCTCGTTTAACGAAGGACCAAAGAGTTTGGGTTTCTTTGGAATATGGAAGGGTAAATAATGCTCAAGAAGTTAGACGGCGATGGGCCGGTCGTTGGGGTAACGTCCCTGCCCCTACTGTACGAACAGTGCTAAGAACCTTTCAAAAGTTTGTGCGAGAGGGAACATGTCTCAATCTTAACCAAGGAAGAAGTGGTCGACGAAGAACCGCAAGAACGGCAGCAAACATAGAATTAGTTCGACAATCACTATTAGAAAATGGCCAAAGATCATCGAGGCGAAATGGTTTGGGATTGAGCCGTCGCACTTTCCAGCGAATTGTTCAACTGGATATCAAATTTCATCCATACGTACTGATACGCAGGCAAAAGCTGCGTGAAGGCGATCCAGCACAACGATTAGCTTTTTGCCACCGACTTGTAAATACCGTAGAAGGGAGACCAGATTTTCTTGATCACTTAATAGTATCAGATGAAGCAGTGTTCAGCTTAAATTCTGAAGTAAACACAAGGAACACAAGAATGTATGCGGCTTATGGCAATGGGCACCCGCCTGATCATTATGTGGAATTTCTTCAAGGTTCAAACCAAATCATGGTGTGGGTTGGTTTAACCAGAGCAGGCAATGTCTTAGGTCCGCATTTTGTTGAAAGAAACCTCGATACCAGAGAGTACTTGCGCATCATACGGTATAACGTTATACAGCGAGACTTTCGCACCCAAAATATCAATAGGCATGACATGTGGTGGCAGCAAGACGGTGCGTCTTGTCATACCAGCCATGCAACGATGCGATACCTTAGAGGCCAATTTCCTGGGCGAGTGATGAGTAAACGGGGCGATTGGCCTTGGCCACCTCGTTCTCCAGACCTAACAGTATGCGATTTTTTTCTTTGGGGCTACCTAAAACATAAAATTTGGGATGTGCCACATAATGAGCAACCAACCAATTTGGGAGAGCTTCGTGAAGCAATTGTTGCAGCATGCCGAAACCTGGAGCAGCAGATGATTCAAGATGCATTCGATTCTATGATTTCACGGGCAAGACGCTGCATTCTTGCTCGGGGACATGCATTTCCTAACGAATAGACGTTTATTTTACACGATCCGAACATGGAGTATTTGACGGTGCATCTCTTGGTGCAATATATGTCGTTAATGTTGTATTAATATTTTTAAAATATGCTAATTTTTAGCTAATTTGTGACCGTTTCAAAATTGTTAACAAAAGTTTAAACTCTTATATCTCAGTTAATCTTGGACGAATATGCCTGTCAAATATACCAAAATTTAAGTTAGATATCGCTGGATGCAATGAAACTCGATTTATGGTTCTACTGCTTATGGTTTCTGAGTTACAAGTAATCAAACAGTTGTACTTTTTTTTGCGCCACCCGGTATATATATTGTATTATACTATATTTTATGTTATATCTTATATACGTTAAGGAAAAAGACACATTTATATTGAATCTACTTTTCAAAAAACATTTTTTAAATATTATGCTTTAGCAATATCTTGTAGATGGATCATGCTAATAAAGCTTTTTCAATAGCAATAGCCTTAAAGTTTCGTCCACTTTTAGGTGATTTTTCAATATTTTAAAAAGAGGCAAAAAATAGCACAAAAGTAAAGCTGCACCAAGGCTATTATAGCCTTAACTTTTAGTCCATTTTTAGCCGCTTTTTAAATCTTCCAAAGAGAGGCAAAAAGGAGGAAAAAATCACAAAAAAGCAAGGCTGTAGCCTTCAGTTTTCGTCCATTTTTAACCGATTTTTTAATATTTTAAGAAGAGGAAAACAATGGAAAGTATTAAGGCTATAGCCTTAACTTTTCGTCCATTTTTAACCGATTTTTCAATATTTTAGAAATAGTGAAAAATGGCAAAAGCGAGGCTATAGCCTTAATTTTTCCTCCATTTAAGCCGACTTTTCAATTTTTTAAAAAGAGTGAAAATGGCAAAAAAGCAAGGCAAAAATTTACAAAAAAAGCAAGGCTGTAGCCTTAGGTTTTCGTCCATTTTTAGCCGATTTTTCAATTTTATAAAAATAGTAAAAAATGGAAAAAAAATGCAAGGCAAAAATCACAAAAAAGCAAGGCTGTAGCCTTAGGTTTTCGTCCATTTTTAGCCGATTTTTCATTTCTTTAAAAATAGTAAAAAATGGCAAAAAGTAAGGCTATAGCCTTAACTTTTCGTCCATTTTTAGCCGAATTTTAAATCTTCCAAAGAGAGGCAAACAAGAGGCAAAAATCAGAAAAAACCAAGGCTGTAGCCTTAAGTTTTCGTCCATTTTTAGCCGATTTTTCAATATTATAAAAAGAGGAAAACAATGGAAAAAAGTAAGGCTATAGCCTTAACTTTTCGTGCATTTTTAACCGATTTTTCAATCTTTTAAAAATAGTGAAAATTGGCAAAAAAGCAAGGCAATAGCCTTAAAGTTTCGTCCACTTTTAGGTGATTTTTCAATATTTTAAAAAGAGGCAAAAAATAGCAAAAAAGTAAGGCTGCACCAAGGCTATTATAGCCTTAACTTTTAGTCCATTTTTAGCCGCTTTTTAAATCTTCCAAAGAGAGGCAAAAAGGAGGCAAAAAATCACAAAAATGCAAGGCTGTAGCCTTAACTTTTCGTCCATTTTTAACCGATTTTTCAATATTTTAGAAATAGTGAAAAATGGCAAAAGCGACGCTATAGCCTTAATTTTTCCTCCATTTTAAGCCGATTTTTCAATTTTTTAAAAAGAGTGAAAAATGGCAAAAAAGCAAGGCAAAAAATCACAAAAAAAGCAAGGCTGTAGCCTTAGGTTTTCGTCCATTTTTGCCGATTTTTCAATTTTATAAAAATAGTAAAAAATGGCAAAAAAATGCAAGGCAAAAATCACAAAAAAGCAAGGCTGTAACCTTAGGTTTTCGTCCATTTTTAGCCGATTTTTCATTTTTTTAAAAATAGTAAAAAATGGCAAACAAAAGCAACACAAAAAATTACAAAAAAGCCAGGCTGTAGCCTTAGGTTTTCGTCCATTTTTAGCCGATTTTTCAATATTTTAAAAAGAGGACAACAATGGAAAAAGTAAGGCTATAGCCTTAACTTTTCGTCCATTTTTAGCCGATTTTTAAATCTTCCAAAGAGAGGCAAAAAAGAGGCAAAAATCAGAAAAAACCAAGGCTGTAGCCTTAAGTTTCCGTCCTTTTATAGCCGATTTTTCAATATTTTAAAAAGAGGAAAACAATGGAAAAAAGTAAGGCTATACCCTTAACTTTTTGTGCATTTTTAACCGATTTTTCAATATTTTAAAAATAGTGAAAAAATGGCAAAAGTGAGGTATAACCTTAACTTTTCGTCCATTTTTAGCCGATTTTTCAATCTTTTAAAAAGAGCAAAACAATGGAAAGAAGTAAGGCTATAGCCTTAACTTTTCGTCCATTTTTAACCGATTTTTCAATATTTTAAAAATAGTAAAAAAATGGCAAAAACGATGCTGTAGCCTTAACTTTTCCTCCATTTTCAGCCGATTTTTCAATTTTTTAAAAATAGTAAAAAATGACAAAAAAGCAAGGCAAAAAATCACAAAAAAACAAGGCTGTAGCCTTAGGTTTTCGTCCATTTTAAGCCGATTTTTCAATTTTTTAAAAATAGTCAAAATGGTAGAAAAAGCAATGCAAAAAATCACAAAAAAGCAAGGCTGTAGCCTTAGGTTTTCGTCCATTTTTAGCCGATTTTTCAATTTTTCAAAAATAGTAAACAATGGCAAAAAAGAAGCAAGGCAAAAAATCAGAAAAAAGCAAGGCTGTAGCCTTTGGTTTTCGTCCATTTTTAGCCGATTTTTCAATATTTTAAGAAAAGGAAAACAATGGAAAAAAGTAAGGCTATAGCCTTAACTTTTCGTCCATTTTTAGCCGATTTTTAAATCTTCCAAAGAGAGGCAAAAAAGAGGCAAAATCACAAAAAAGCAAGGCTATAGTCTTAAATTTTCGTGCATTTTTAACCGATTTTTCAATATTTTAGAAATAGTGAAAAAATGGCAAAAGTGAGGTATAACCTTAAATTTCCGTCCATTTTTAGCCGATTTTTCAATATTTTAAAAATAGTGAAAATTGGCAAAAAAGCAAGGCAATAGCCTTACAAAATGGCGGACATGTCTACAATCACAAAAGAGCAAGCCTGTAGCCTTAAGTTTTCGTCCATTTTTAGCCGATTTTCAATATTTTAAAAAGAGGAAAACAATGGAAAAAGTAAGGCTATAGCCTTAACTTTTTGCGCATTTTTAACCGATTTTTCAATATTTTAGAAATAGTGAAAAAATGGCAAAAGTGAGGTATAACTTTAAATTTCCGTCCATTTTTAGGCGATTTTTCAGTATTTTAAAAATAGTGAAAATTGGCAAGAAAGCAAGGCAATAGCCTTAAAGTTTCGTCCACTTTTAGGTGATTTTTCAATATTTTAAAAAGAGGCAAAAAATAGCAAAAATGTAAGAGGGCCCTGAAGGGGTAAAATGGGAACTGGGTTTGATCTAAGTTTAGACTGGGAAAATGGGATTTGGGTTACTGCGACTGGGATTTGGTCACTGGGAATGGGAAATGAAGTCCTCAAAAATGGGAATGGGATTGAGGTAATGCGAGTCGATTCCCAATTTTTCTACATTTTAAGTGTTTTAAAATACAAGTTTGATCCGTTTTCGGTGTCTTTGGTCATGATTTTTGTTGTTAACTATATTATTCACAGCACTACCTGCGAACAGACATACTCTGGCGCCCGGAATTCTGGGTTTTCTGATTATGCGTGTCTCAAAATGCTGCAAATGCCATTTCCGGGATTCAAATTTTAAAATTTTCTGTGCCTTCGGCACAAGCCCCCCGATGTTTCATAAAGTGTCCGCCACTTGTACACACGGTGGTTTAAAAAGTCTTAAAACTGTTTATTCTACCAATAAATAAAGGGTTTTTTATTGACTGGGATTTCAATAACTCGGACTGGGATTTCTAATAAAAATCCAACTGGGACTGGGATTTCTAATAAAAATCCAACTGGGACTGGGATTTTGCCAAAATTTCAGGTGGGAAATGGGATTGGGACCCCCCCCCCCCCCCC